CTTACTATAATATACAGTGTATGGGTCAAAAAAAGTCACTATTCCCTTTTTTACATAAGTATATCGTTTTTACACAACGTGGGCTTTCTTTAACCCAATTCTGACAAAGTGAATGGTTATTAATTTTTCTTTAATCATTAATTTGATTATTTATAGCTATACAAATAAGGAATCTGAACGATAAACTTGCCTGAGACTCGCTGTGAGGAGTATGGATTATTTCTTAGTGTATGTCTTTTAACTTAGCTAGATACATAATTATGAACTTTATTCCAGGCCTCTTATATTCACAGCCTCTTTATAATACCCACAAACTACTCTTAGATATTTATTTTTGCATTATTTGAGCAAGGCTTAAAAGCTTATATTATTATATTTTCTTGAATCTTCTTTTTACCTATCTTCAAATTTTTGTTTCTATGATTGCACTTATTTTTTCGGTTCTTTAGCTCCCTTCCATTAGACACCTTATCTATCTGAGGTCGTTTGACGAATCATGTTTATCTATGGCCTCTTGTTGGATGGATATAGTCGATGACCTATCTGACTCCAAAGACCCACATTCCTTTTCCAGTGATAGTCACAGTAAAGTCCAAGAAGCTTCCAATTACCCTTCCTTTTCGGGCTCTGAAAACTCTGCTAATCCTACAGCATCAGAGCAGCAGTGCCCCGACGTCAAATCACTGGCTTTCGCATCTCCCTCTATTTCTGCAACAACTCTCGTCACCTACCAACCATCCCTTAAAGGCAATCGACAAGTCGGAAAGACGTTTGCGTCGTCGAAGTGTCTCGATAGTTCTTTAGAATGTTCCCACCAATCCAAACGCCGCAAGTACCAGCCCTGCCTACAGTCGAAGGCTTCCAGCTTGGATCTTTGTCCGGAATTTGTCTCCTCTTCCAATAATGCGGATGGTTTAACTTGTCGCGAGGAGCGAATTGTGACGCGTACCGCCTCCTCTTTACAGCCAATTGAGTGGTCTCGTCTTCCTTCAGCTTCCTCTGATTGGGTTTGTGTCTTGTTTCATTTGTGTTTTTTTCTTTAATATATTTTAACGACCTGGCATGCCCAAATGAATTCCATTTAAGCATTGACTCAGATATTTCTGGTAAACGGATATCCAAAAGAAATAATTCAACCAAACACGCGGATCTTGATGAGCATGTAGCAGGATAGAGATTATTAAAGGAAAATCAGGTATACAGAGGAAAAACTAATGATATGTCTAATTTCCTGTGAACTAACCTTGAAACTGTGGCCATTGCTAATGTAATGAAACATTCATACTATCCTGAAGGAAAGTAGAAAGTTCTTCACAAGCTTGTCCACACATGAAATGCTCTGGAGTTTACTCATTAAACAAAAGTATATTAGAGACATGGAAAGGTCAATTGGCACAAGAAAGGAGAAACACCAACGACTCCAGAGCAATGGACACGTAAGGATTAGAGATATCCTAACACATTGCCCTGATCGGCAACACGACTGACTGAAATATAGCTGAAAAAATGCCCTTATATAGAGAAAATATAAGAAAACGGAAGACCAGGGAAAATGTGGACCTTCTTTCAACGAAACTTAATAAGAGGAATCTGGAAGAAGCTTACCGTTTGGGTGGACTTGGCGAAATTCAGGATTCAACAAGGACAACAAAAAGGAGACGGTTGTTTCGGAGACATTTATTCATTAACAGTAAGAGGCATCATCAGGAAGAGGATCTTGAGGAACAATTAAAAGTCAAGAAAAGGCGATTATAGTGAGATTATTTAAACCTGTAATCAGCCTTAAAAGGTTGCTGTAAATATAGAAATGAACATTCTTGTATGTCTGAATAGTACATCATTAGAGCTCATTATGTGAGCATCTTGATCTATTTCAAATCCGCTTGGTGAATAATATCAATTGGCTCCAAATACATGAGTTCGTGTTTGTCTGTAATGAAAGGTGTTCATAACATGCCTGACAAGGCTAGTTATTAACCAATTTGCACATACAGAACTGAGTAAAGCCTTAGGGCTAGGGACAAGAGAATTGGGCCATAGGCGATTTAGAAATGAAAAAATTAAGTAGTTATTTTCTACATTGGCAGCTAACAGATAACAAATGAGGTGGGTTCACCCCATTTTTTTAAGGAGATAGTTGAATTTTCCCATAATGATATGAGGAGAGCTGACGTTTCCATTGAATTTCGCATAGCCTTGCCTTCCCAAAAGTTATTCTCATCCAGGCTGAAGTGGAATGTAGTTTCGACCTCGCATAGATTTTATCACCAACCCAAACGAGAGTCGAACCGTGAAAGTTCAGCATGTAAGCTTGACACTTTAACCACAATTGCCATTGGGTCACGAGACAGATTTGAATTTCAAAAAAGTCAGGCATTTTCCATATCACATTCTGTGTTCGGATTGTCGATGCATAAGCTTATATTTGCTATAGCAATCGACGACATTCTTTTTTCGTTATTGAGTAGGTTTTCGAGACTACCAGTTATATGAGATGTGTTCACCCTATTTAATTTAATCACCTCATTATTTTTACTTACATATTCTGGATGGCAGCTGTGTCATGACAAAGAATAAATGTAGATAGCAAGAGTCATTGGGTTTTGATGTATCTCCTGAAAATTGTGCCATGACTTTCCATTTCGAAGGGAAAGTTGGTTGGCAGGACTTCGTGATGTGGTCTTATCAGAAACCGAAGGAGGATTATCGAGTAGGGAAGACTGTTGAATTGTGCGAAGACTCCGATGAAATTGTGCTAAGCTTTCGTCCGTACTGTGACAGACATCATCAGGGCAAGAATCCATACTTGACGAAATAGAGAAAACATAGTAAACCAAGAGAAAGTGACCGGCTACAACCCCAGTCGCTTTTTATACAGCTAACATCGCGATCTTAATGAGGCATCCCATGATTTTGTTGGCTACTTCAACTCCACACGCTTGCAAATGAGTCAAGTTAACTTCTTAAACCGTAAGTGCGTTCGGTGACAGCTGTTTCCTTACACAAAAAACTAGCTTATAATCGTATAATGTTGAATCATCTTTGGGCTTGTGTTATTACCTAATGTATGTAATGCTTGTGTCATGAGAAATGTGATAGTCCCAGCTAAACTTAAGGCTAATTCAGCTTCCTTCTCTTGCTCAGTGGCTCTTTCTGAACACTCTCTCCCTTTCCTTAAGTCTATCCAACTGCCACAA